TGGGGGATATAGTCCTCCTTAAGTAGATAGAATATGGGGTATATGGGGATCTGATTGTAACATGCCCAGAGCCAAATTCTATCTGCTTAAGGGGGACGGTAGGTTTGTGTTATCGGACCTTTTCTCCATTGGCCTCCGGAAATACCTACTGCACGGTTTCGGGTTGAGGGTCAACAGTCCCAGAAAAGACTCGGGTCTTTAAGGGTCCAGGATATAGGACTTGGCGCTGAGCAGCATGACAAGAAGGACCCCTTGGTTCACTGCTGGCCCACAGCCCAATCTTAGAGGTCTATCCTTTCAACCAAGCCCATGATCTGAAGTCCTTCCAGGCAAATATCTTCAGAAAGGTCACAGCCCTGAATTGCCAAATCCAAACAGGAACGAAGTAGCTATAAATAGTAGTTTCCACCCGTTCTTGTCCATGATCCCTATTTAATCCCGCTGTATTCCCTAGAGGCTTCAGCCGCAAACCAAGGCAAACATCTTCTTTGAGCAGAGTCTTAGGAGCCGGCTCCACCGTCTGCAAAAGATTGGGATCTGACAACTTGCAGGTGCCTTAGGATCCACAAGGGTGGGGGAGCCCCTGGGCTGCTATCAAATCACTCCAAAGCTACCAGTAAGCTCACAGAAATCTGAACCCTGAATCCCACACCCTCCCATACACCCCCCACCCTAAACCTCTTGCCAGCCCATTGCCCAGACATGCCCAGACCTTAAACCCTGTTAGACCATATTAGACCCGGGAGTGCTTGTCATCTGCACTGCTACAGGGCTCAGGTCGGAGCCCATGCCCTGCTCGCTGGCCATCTTCCCGTAGAGCTTGATGTACTTGTTGGCCTCTCCATTCTATCTTCTGCTTCAAGACTTCAAAGAATCCTCGCTTCAAAGTGGCCTGCCGCTGGGGGTCGATCATGAGTGGCCAGCGCCTGGATCACGGAGCATGCGGGCAACCCAGCCTATGCCTAGAGAATTATGATGCTAAATGATGCTAGCGCTAGCAAGAGGTCCAGCCTCGCAGTTGCGATAATGATGCCATTCTCGACAGACAGGTTGTCGTTGGGCAAGCCACACACAGCCCACTGCTGGATGACCACCTGACTTGATGCACCGCAGCAGCATTCCAAGGTTCACCTCTCAGTCTCCTGGAGCCTCCTGCAATGCTTGGGCCACGGCGGGCTGGCCAAGGACGTTGACCAAACTGGCACCCTGCTTGTGGGTGATACCCTCCTCATCCTGCATGCAAGGCACACTTAACCTCAACAATCTCATCACTCTCAATCTGCTCGCTTAGCTGTCCTCGGTCTTCAACCAGAGCTTCTCGAAGTGCTGCCGGTATTCTCCAGCGAACGGTCCCGCATAGCCAACCATTCCTGGGCCACGGCAACACATCAGGCCAAACGGGCTGAAACATGCCACAACGCCTGCAGCAATCAGAGAGTCACCAGGTAGAAGGTCGTATTCTGTGGTCAGCGAATCCACCTTAACAACTATCCAGGTTTGACTTTTGAAGCCCTGTGAACAGTCTAGCACCACGAATCATTTGGATCTCGCGGATCCAGACTCTCATCAGAGTCACTGGGCATCTCAGACTCTGAGGTCCCAGCAGTGGCAGACCACCGATCCTTCTCTCCACCCAGGCCATCAATCAGCTTGTTGGCGTTCGCAAGCCTTGGTAGGGCAATACGCCGTACAACCGCATGTCAAGGTTTTGTGCGCGTAGGAACCTGAGGAGAATGTAGATTCCAGGTTTGCTTGGATTGAAGTCCCAAATGGAGTGCAACATTAATGCAAACACCTAGATCACAGGGAAGAAACGTGTTGACAGCAAGCTCCTTCCAAAACCTTTCGGCCGAGCCGCTTGATGACGCACATTTCCATTTCGTGCGCAAGCTGATCCTCAGCCAAATCAGTGCCAATTCACAGCTGTGACACTGCACAGCCAAACAACAGTCGCACGGAGCACAAAGCCCATCAGACACTTCAACTGGCTCTTAGTCGGGAATTTTTTACTTTATAGAGTTATAGAGGTATTATAAAGGGGTTCTTCTATCCTCTAAGGGATTTGGAACCCCAGTAGAAATTATAATTGCAGCTAAATATTAGGATTGTTGGTAACAGAAATTAAAAAATATGTTCAGGAACCTTCTTCTATGCCCTTATTCCCTACTAAGAACCAGCAAGTCATCTTTGCGCATGGCCTGCTTGGCAACGGCAGCATTGTAGTCAGCCTCCAGCTGCGCCTCACAAAGACACCAACTGGAGAACGCAACCCCTGAGTCACTGGACCTACCCCTGAAGCCTATATTGCCCTGTATACCCGATGTATATATATATATATATGTATACATACCCCTATACATATACACCTGTTCATATAACCCCATAGAAACTGTAGGTGGTTGGGATTACTGTTGACATTTTTCCCTTCCAGCAAGGAGTGGCCATGATGCTTTCACCGGGGTCCCAGCCAGCTTGTCTTCCACAGCCTGAACCATGGCTCAAGGTTCTATGGTTTAGGGTTTATAAAGTTAGGGTTAAGGATTTAGGGTTAAGGGTTTAGGACTCAAGGTTCTACGGACTTAGGCATTAATTCAACGCAAAACGGCGAAATCACAGAAATCCAGTGAAAGCCGGCCTTGAGCTGTGCTTGGGCATTGCGAAGCTTGGTCATGGTGATCTGTCAGGGAGGCTTGTAGTTGTCAATCCCAGGGCGCCAGTCTCACCCAAAGCTGCCTCCAGGCTGGCTTCTGCATCAGCAAGCATCCTGTCCACAACATGGGGGCTTCCCAAAATTAGGGGTACCATTTTGGGGGTCCCCATAATGAGGATTATAGTACTTTGGGGTCTATATTAGGGTCCCCTTGTTTTGGGAAACTGTCACATAGTCCGAGTGTAGCTATTTAAGAAATGCTTTCAACACCAGAGGTCCTGCGCTTCGGCTCTACAGCCTTTGCCACGAAGTGGTACTTGTGCATCGCCCGCGTCCTTAGACATTCCAAGACATGTGAACTGAAAAGGGCCCAAACGGCAAAAATCTCAGCTGCTCGCCACATGCATAGGGCTTCACAGGCCACTGAGGACTTTTTGATGGCAGCGGGATCAAAATCCTGAGCAGCACAAAGAGCGACAACATGCCGTGGACTTGCAGTGGACGCGCAGTGAAGGCCTCGCGGTCCACATACTCTCCAATCTTCTTGATCACAGGCTCTGCAATGTTGTCCTGTGTTGCTGCGTCTAGAATGTAACTTCGACATTGTTCATCTACCAAAAGACCTGCGTTCAGCGCTATAGCAACGAGGACGAGACGGACGGGTCCTTGTCAAACTCGAAGAGGTCATCAAGCAGCTTCTTCGGGTCGCTCAAAGGCCCCTTCTGCGAAGCCTGAGCAAAAGCCAATGGGGGAGATTGTCAGAACATCCCCTACATCGTGCTTAATCCAATCTCCATATTGTATCGGTGGGCAGGATTCCCAGTTTTTTTATAGACTCCCATGTATGGCTTATCGCAAGGGCCAGCTGTTCCCAGCCTCCCAGTAATCGTCGATCTTCTTGCCGGGCTGGTTGGGATCGTTCTTCTTGATTGGCCTCTGGGAAACACCCGGCCAAAATGGCGAGAATCTCCTACCTGTCGGGATCAGCCTATTTGGTGACTTCCGTAAATAGGGGCGCCCCGGGATAGACCCCCAAATACAAAAATCTTTGCTATAAAGACCCCCAAAAGGTACCGCGCGTTTTGGGAAACCCCCATTTGATTCTGAGCAGAAGGCTTGACCTGGAACATCACGCAGACAGCCTGCCAACGTTAACGTGCAAGATGTGGGTGGTTGTCAAAATTACGGTCCCTTTTTGGGTACCCTAGATATGAAGCGCCGTATTATAATAAGGATCCAAAAAGGGACCCATAATTTTGGCAACCACCCATATAACCCATTATAGTAGTTTCCATTTTCTTTTCCATTATCCCCCATATAACCCCAATATAACCCTAAACCCTAAACCCTATACTACCCTATATATCCCTTTAAAGGGACCTAGGGTTTCCATTTTCTTTTCCATTATCCTTAGGATTCCTAATGTGCAAGGAAGAGGCTGAGAGGCCTTTGCTGGGAATGACAAAATTACATAGGGGATTCTATATAGGGATTATATTGGGGTTATATTGGGGTAATGGAAAAGAAAATGGAAACTACTGTAATATTAAAGGGTATATATTGGGCGGGGCCTCCAAAGTCAGCCGCACGCCATCGGGAGGCTTGCCCAAAGCTTTGATCTCCTCCAAACATATGGGGCTTTCCCCCATAAGGACCATAGTATTTTGGGGTCCGTATTGGGGTCCCCTATTCAGGGAAACTGCCACATGCTGTAGGTCAGCAAGGGCCACCGCAAGCTCATCAAGCTGCCCTTCAAGTCCTGCAAGCTGGAGAGCTTCAGGGCTTTCAGAGCCTTCTCTGCGACGTTCAACGCAGGCCTCAGAATGTACTGGTAGAATCTGACAGGAACTACTGCAACAGAAGCGGGCTGAGTCTGGAGCAAAGCCTCATTCAGGTCCTTCTCGGCGTCCTCTTTGATGGCCGTGGCTTTGGCCGCCTGCATGGCAGAATCACCTTCACTGTCTTCCTCCACATGTCTTAGACGCAACAAATAGCAAGAGCTAAGAATGCAAGATGAACAGCAACGTCGGCTGCCTGCTCTTGCGCTTCCGTCTCCACTACTTGGCACTCCTCCTTCGTGACTGCGGCCTGCGCAGCTTCAAGCAACCGGACCTTTCCGCAATGAACACCTACATCGAACTTTATCTGGCCTTGGCTTTGTCTTCCGTGATCACCACCATCATCTCAGCCACCTTCGACGGGAGACGTCCAGCTTTAAAATCTGCATCTGCTAGCTGACAGCCATGCATCGAGCCTTGATTTTCGTCTCCTCCAGCACAGGTTGCTTGGCTTCAAGCCTCAGCAGAGGACAGGTGCCACATGTTACCACAGCCGTTTGCAGTGTAGGGAGCTCACTCAGACTGCATGTTGGCCACAGCATAAGCCGCCGCTCCAAGAGCATCCAAGCCCTTCTGCAGACGGTTCTTCAAGGTTCCGACTGCATCCTGGCAGCAGCTTTCAACTCAACGACCAAGGACCAATTTCAAAAAAATGGAAAGCCCGCAAATCTGATGAGATGTAACTCTTGCAGAGCAGACCCGTCTCAGCGCGAGCACCTGGCAACTTCACAGCTGCTTGCGCTGGATTGTCGTGCAACTTCAGGGGTTTTAAAGTTCAGGACTTCGCGAGGCCTTCTTGAAGGAGGATATCAGCTCCAGGTAAGACGTGGGAGTGATGTAGATGGCCCGCCTAGACCAGGCAAGCATTCTTCCAACATACTTGCTCCGCATTGTGTGCGGGGACCCTCATGCACTCCCACAAGAGCAAGATCCACGTTGTACAGATGCCCAGACAAGGCCTTCCATAACCTTAAAAAAGCCTGCAACCCCGAATATCTACGCATAATCCATGTACAGCCACTCAAAGTGTAAACTCCAGCATGTCTCATGGATCACCACCCGGCCTGACAGTCTCCATGGTCTTCTTGGCGGCCTGGTTGGGCCACGTGTGAAGGTCTCAAATTCTAGAAGAAGTGTTAAAAGGGCTCTCTGAGATTCCAGCTTTAATCACTATTTCTATTACTACTACTATGCCTGTTGACATTGCTATTACCATTGCCATTACTATTACTATGACCTCAACTGTTACTCTTACTATTACTATTACTGTGACTGATGCCGAACAATATTACATAATATGAATATCACGATCACTATCAGCACTACTTGCTGTTGCTATTGCTACTGCTATTGCTATTACCACGGTAGTTACTCGTACTCGTACTATTGCTATCACAATTGCATTGACTCTTAGTCTTGCTCTTACTCTTCAATGAGTCCACGAAAATTAGAGTATACGGTATACATGGACCTCAACGGGCAAGACTTCTTTCCTTACATGTCCACCAGTATCAAACGGTCGAGTTACTGTTACTGTCATGCACTCACAAGGGCAGAAGACGCATGTGAACACATGCTTGCGAACGCACCTCTTTTTACTGCTCAAGGCATGGGGTC